CTCTTTTGGGGTTTGTCTTGCTGTGCCCCCAGCATGTTCGTTGACTTTTTGTACTTGTACCTTAATGTTGGATGCTTGATGTTGGACGCTTGGTGGTATGCTTTATAATATAAAGCGGGGGGAAACCCTTTTTCGTCAATACCAAATTCTGTTGGTAATTTGACTAATCTGCGGTATTTGGATCTCTCACGGAATTATCTCAACGGTAAGATTACGGGATTGTTGTATGGTGATGCATACTCTAGTTAATTATGGATATATGTACTTATTCCAGTAAAATTTTCTTGTTGAGACTCCAAAAGATAGCGCTAGCAGTCAGATTGTGAATGTAAATTAATGAAGTGCTTTTGAAATATTAACATAGTCCAAGCAAAGACTAAGTGTTTATATGCTTCTTCTAGTGTACAAAAACATGTCTGCGAGAGACTAAACCTGTTTTTGGCTACAAATTCTTCTCTTCAGGTACTTCAAACTGCATGGTTTAGGAATAGAAATACATTCATGATAACTTTCCATTCTCCATTATGTTTGTGTTTGCAGGGGAAATTCCAGCTTCTCTCTCCAATCTTCCATTGCAACACTTGGATCTTTCTCAGAACCAACTTTCTGGCCCTATAAAGGAGTTCACGGTGGCATCTTTGGGCTTGGAGTACTTGGACCTAGGCGTGAATGAATTGACTGGGCAGATTCCAAGGTCCATTCTTGACCTCACAAGTTTAAGAAAACTGTTTATTGAATGGAACAACTTGGTAGGTTTGGTGCAACTTACCTCATTTTGGAGGCTAAGAAACCTAATTGATCTGAGGCTTTCGCACAATAAATTGTCTATCGTGGATGGAGAAGGCAATAATAACTCCTCAACCTATCTCTCTAGAATTTCCACCTTAGAGCTTGCGTGTTGCAACATAACCAAATTTAATTTCCGACTGTTTTGGCACGTGTTAGCTATGTGCGTGATTTGGATCTCTCATGCAATAGACTCAGTGGGGACATACCAGATTGGATATGGGGGAGATGGAACAATAGTCTTTCATATTTAAATCTTTCACACAACCTGTTCACTGGTATGCAACTTAATTCATATTTTCTCCCTTCAAGTACACTGGAAATTCTTGATCTTAGTGCTAATCGTCTCGAGGGGCAGATTCCTATACCATACTCGCCATTGTTATTTGTGGATTATTCACACAATAATTTCTCTTCTGTTCTTCCAAACTTCACTTCATATCTTGGTACCACATATCTCAGCATGTCCAACAACAGTATAAATGGATGCATGACAGATTCAGTTTGCAGTGGAATTATGGGTGTGTTTAACCTATCCTACAACAATTTTAGTGGGCCGATTCCTGCCTGTCTGATAGAAAGTGGTGGACTGATGGTGTTAAATTTGAGGGAAAATAACTTTGAAGGGACGTTGCCATCCAAAATTACAAGTGAATGTACTTTCCAGACAATAGATTTACATGGCAATAAGATTGAGGGGAAGCTTCCGAGGGCACTTTCTAACTGCAGTAAGTTGGAGGTTCTTGACATTGGAAACAACCTGTTACTTGATACTTTCCCATCTTGGCTAGGGGAGCTTCCCAATCTTTATGTTCTTATCTTAAGATCCAACCAATTCTATGGTTCGGTAGATGATGTTGTTGGGAATTACCAAACCAGAGAGTACTTCCCTACCTTGCAAATTATTGATCTTGCTGCGAACAACTTCTCTGGCAATTTAAATTCAAAATGGTTTAGAAAATTAAAATCAATGATGATGAGGTTCAATAGTGCAGGAGATATTGTCAGTGCTAAAAACATACCAGGTATTCAGGCATTCTACCAGGACACCGTAGTGATAACATACAAGGGCTCCGAGGTGACATTTGGAAGGATCCTGAGCACTTTAACAGCAATTGACCTTTCAAATAATAGATTGGAAGGTACCATTCCTGAGTCAGTTGGACGACTTGTTTCACTGCGCGTACTGAACATGTCACACAATGCATTCACGGGAAAAATTCCAACCCAGCTTGGCGGTGTGACTGATCTGGAGTCACTAGACATGTCTTGCAACCAACTCGCTGGGGAGATTCCACAGGAACTCACAAATCTCACCTCTCTGGCCACCCTGAACTTGTCCGACAACCGGTTGGTGGGGAAGATACCGCAGTCAGGCCAGTTCCTCACATTTGACATCAATTCATTCGAAGGGAATTTGGGATTGTGTGGACCGCCATTCTCCAAGCCTTGTGGCGTATCACTTGCTCCTCCAAGCCCTGCCCGTGTGGAGAAGTCTTCTAATGTGGATGTCATCCTGTTTCTCTTTGTCGGGCTGGGCTTCGGTGTTGGATTTGCAGCTGCCATTCTGATGAGATGGGGTCGAATCAGAAAATGGTTTGTTAAATCTGCAAGAGCTTTGTGGACTTGATCTGATCTGGGAGACTATTCCCTGGTGCAAGCATGCTGTCCTGGAAGAGAGCTTATTCCTCTGCAGCAGTCGTTGCTTTTGAAGAAGTACTGTAAGTATAGGCTTTTTATCTACTTGTATACTTTTTGTGCTGTGATTCATGTATTAAGCCCCTGCTGCACCTTATCTCCTGTGGTGTATGCTATACAATATTGCTTGGGGTTAGATTAGATGGCTGGGCATCTTTGTAATCCATCTCCTGTATCTGTTTGTTGTTATTTCCAGTTTTAAGTGTGATCATGCATATGTTTAGCCTGGAGATGAATCTTGTAACCATTGTGTTATCTTGTTTGGATATAAATAAACGCCACGCGGACTGACAAGGGTTATACGCTTCATCAACACTTCTATTTTTTCTCGTAAAGTTGCACTTGCTTCTTGTGTCAAAGTATCATTCCTGGAAGATAACCGTGCTGCTGTAATTTGTTTCGGCGCAGAGTGACAGATGAATCTGATCATCATATTGCAGAATTAGTTTCTACCTCTCTTTTGCAGGAATATTGCGTGTTTGCGTATGCCCTGCCTAACCGTGTTTTTTTTTTTTTTGCATCCCATGAGGCCATGACGCCATGTACAATTTAAGTTTGACTGAATTTTTTTGCATCTGTTTTAAACTCATATAATTACACATGATAATTTTTTGTTACTCCAGTAAATTGTTTTGTGGAGAGGTTACTCCTGTTTATGTAGTTGTTCTGCATGAAAATGTATATTTATGTTTAGAATAATTTTTACAAGTCCTTTGGCTGTTGCGAATGTATTTTCAATACCCAGTGAATTTTGTCCGGAGCGCTCCTTTCCCCAGAGCTGGATAGCGTCGTGCAACCGTGTCACCGTGTGTGGCTTGGCGATCTCCATTGTTGGCTCGAACGCTGTCTCTGTTCTGCTGCGGTTGCGAGGAAGTCGCCATTTGGTCATGGTTGCTGCTTTCCAAGATTCTTCTGTCAGACAGGTACCTTCCCCTGAGTCTATCTATATGGTCCGGATCCACCTATGTGATGCCTGCTAGCTAAACAGGTATCAATCTCAAACTAGTCTGGTGTTATCTGATTTATCTGATTGTCTGTACATCAGTCTGTTTAGCCAACAAGCCAAAGGAACATCCATCAGTCTTTGCCGATATCAACAGGTATCGATTCCATTGACAGTGCATCCATCAGTCTGTACGCCAGAGGAGCTTGCATCGTTCAATTATACTCCTACTTGCGATTTTCAAGTCTTTGCCGAGTCACACAAGTTGTGGGCCCCACCAAGATGATGTGCCGTCCATGTGGCAGCAAAACCAGCTAGCTAAAGGCTTACCAGGGTCGGAAATCGGCCAATTTCACCAGTTTTATTAATTTTTTGGAAGGGGAGGGGGAGTAATTTGTGTAGTTTCAGAGTTCAGGATTGTAATCGGATCTTTTTGATAAGCTCGGGGGCTAATATGCACTTACTCAGGAGATACAGAATATAGCTTTTTTATGGCGAGCGCACTATAGCATGGGCTCTAATATGTCACAAGTCTTTTGGTGTGGAAATTTTGAGAAACAGGTCGTTAATCATCTAATCTAAGAAGATTCAACGATGAAATTCTGAGGGATAACACATAAATGTCTACTTGGGATGGATATAGTTTGACTCGCGTTTGGTATTTGGCAGACACCTAAAATTCATTCAATCGCTAGTCGAATCCTCATGCGCAGCCCCGAGGGTGAGATGGGCCGGAGACGTTGCGGCTAGCCATGGCAAAGCCTAGCTAGTTAGGGTTTAGGATTTGTTGGAGTAAGAAGATGAACAAAAAGCCATTCGGATAAGAAAACCGAGAACGAACCACTTACGTTCTGAAAGCACGACCGTCGTAAATATCCATATGCATTTTTTCTTCTGATGAAGAAACCAAACTTAGCTGGAAAACGAGAACCTCAGACCAGTAAACCACTTCGCATGCTGATTTTTGTCAGCATCGAAACCACTCGAGAGATGTCGCACATCAATGTAGAAGATCTTTGTCCGATCTGGATGAAAATTGAAAAGTAGTACTACTCCTGTATGGCGAGACAATGGGTAGACCTGTGGGATTCGAGGCTGCACATGCCGCAACAAAACCTTGTCCACCTCAAACAGCGACAACAAAGATGGGCGACGAGCGGTTTACTGGAAAGTTTGACGGATTCCAGGTCTTCGCTGCAGCGGCGGTCAAGCTACGATAAGACGTGAGAATTTCAGATGAGATGCAAATGTGCGGACACGAGGCCGCTGTAAACTTGTTTTTAAACCCCTGCGGTCTCATCCAGCTGAGCAACACTCCACAGCTCAAACACCACCACCACCACGGAAAACAACGCTGAAACTGCTCCGGTGCTCTCCGGCCGAGCGGAGGTGCGTCTTCTCTCCTTAATTATTTCTTTTGGCTTGTGTCTTGCTGAAAGGCTTCTTGTGGGTGACACGTACAGTAATTATTTGCTAAAGTTACTCCATTATTACGCTTCAAATAACTGGCCTCTAGTCGTCGATGTTGGCGCAAGCATCCAGACGTATTATTTGTTCATAGCTGGTTGCAGCACGGGTGCAACGTACATCCGCTAGTAAACACATGCAGTTCATAACATGCGACCAAGTTTATCATTTCCATTTTGCAGGTGACTAGGGACTCATGCCTTCTCCCAAGCAACCAGCGAAGCTCGACATGCTCTGGCATTGCTGCTGCTTTGTAATGGAGTTGGCCACGCGTATTGCTCAATGATCCACGAAAACAGCGTCGATCTGCACTCGCTGCTTGAGTTCAAGAAGGGCATCGTTAGCGATCCTCAAGGAGCCTTGAGTAACTGGAACGACACAACCCATTTATGTCGCTGGAATGGTGTCGACTGCACCTCCACGACACCACCGTTCCGCGTCTCATCGCTTATTCTCGCTAGCCAAAACTTAGCAGGCCAAATTAGCTCCTCTCTATTAAACCTAACTTTCCTCGCATGGCTTGACCTTTCGGGGAACTATTTTGTTGGCCCATTGCATGTCCTTGGCCATCTTCAAAGATTACAGACACTTTACCTCAACAACAACAGTTTAAATGGGATAATTCCTGATTCACTTACCAACTGTTCCAACTTGATCAACTTAGATCTCTCTGTAAACTCCCTCATGGGTGTAATTCCTACAAAACTGGTCTTCCTTTCAAGACTGAACTACTTAGATCTCTCTGCAAACTCGCTAGTCGGTCAAATTCCTCCGAAACTAGAGCTCCTGTCAAAAGTCAAAACCTATCTTCTTGGATCTCTCTATAAATTTGCTAGTGGGTCAAATTCCTCTGAGTTTAGGATTTCTTCTTAATCTAGCATATATCTATCTTCGATCAAATCAACTTGAGTGGAGCATTCCTGAGCTTGGGAAATTGCCGCTATTGCAAGAGCTGATCATGGGCAACAATAAGCTTTTAGGTGAACTCCCACATGCCATCTTGAATTCTTCTGGTTCGCTCCAAATTTTAGGCTTGGAATTCAATATGATAAGCAATGCATTGCCACCTAATATTGGCGACCGTCTGCCTAATCTCATCCAACTTACCTGGGCGCTACTAACCTGTTTCAAGATAACATCCCAGCTTCCCTAGGAAACGCTCAAGGTTTAAAAGTGATAGATTTATCAAACAACAGTTTCACCGGGACAATTCCTACTTCTTTTGGAAAGCTTTCAAATCTAACTATTCTAAACCTTGAGAATAACCTGCTTGAGACAAGGGACAATAGAGACTGGGAGTTCTTAAATGCACCGAGAAATTGTCAGTCTCTAAAGAAACTATCAGTCTCCTTGAATCAACTGCAGGGATCTATTCCCCAATCCGTTGGTAACCTATCCCCAGCCTTGAGGAGCTCTAGCTGCTTGGAAACAACTTATCAGGACAAGTACCCCAGAGCATCAAAAAACTTAGTGCCTTAACTAAACTGGCACTAGGTGAAAATAGTTTAAGTGGTACGATTGAGGGATGGGTTGGTGACCTAAAAGGCATTGTATCATTATATCTCTAGTCAAATAGCTTCACTGGCCTAATCCCATCCTCTATTGGCAGACTTACTTGATTGACATATCTGTATATAGGTGAAAATGAGTTCGAGGGCCACATATCACCCAGCTTGGGAAACCTTCCACTCTTACAGCTAAACCTTGGTGGTAACAATTTCCAAGGTTATATACCATCAAACTTGGGAAAACCTCCAAGAACTAACTGAAGGAAATATGCCCTAGAGGCAATAATAAAGTTATTATTTATTTCCTCATATCATGATAAATGTTTATTATACATGCTAGAATTGTATTAACCGGAAACATGATACATGTGTGAATACATAGACAAACATATAGTCACTAGTATGCCTCTACTTGACTAGCTCATTAATCAAAGATGGTTATGTTTCCTAACCATAGACATGTGTTGTCATTTGATTAATGGGATCACATCATTAGAAGAATGATGTGATTGACATGACCCATTCCGTTAGCCTAGCACTTGATCGTTTAGTATACTGCTATTGCTTTCTTCATGACTTATACATGTTCCTGTAACTATGAGAAATATGCAACTCCCGTTTACCGGAGGAACACTTTGGGTACTACCAAACGTCACAACGTAACTGGGTGATTATAAAGGAGTACTACAGGTGTCTCCGAAGGTACATGTTGAGTTGGCGTATTTCGAGATTAGGTTTTGTCACTCCGATTGTCGGAGAGGTGTCTCTGGGCCCTCTCGGTAATGCACATCATTATAAGCCTTGCAAGCAATGTGACCAAATGAGTTGGTTACGGGATGATGCATTACGGAACGAGTAAAGAGACTTGCCGGTAACGAGATTGAACTAGGTATTGGATACTGACGATCAAATCTCGGGCAAGTAACATACCGATGACAAAGGGAACAACGTATGTTGTTATGCGGTTTGACCGATAAAGATCTTCGTAGAATATGTAGGAACCAATATGGGCAT